ACTGCCATTCGATTTTGAATGAGCTGTCCAAATTAAAGTAGTAATTGTTTAGGCCATGAGAATGCTCCTAAACCTTGCTAATTGGAGTCAATCCATCTACTGTAGAAAAGGAAGAAGGTATTTAGTTACATAAAAATATGCCAATATAATAATTTGATCATCAAATGATATTTTTATCCCCATACATTATTGTCAGAAGAAAAGATATAAATGTACGCTTTTGTAATTTAAATCTTATTTGAAAAATTCTACTTAATCACATGATATTTACGAGGCATTCTGAGATTTCTCGCAAGATCCGAGCCATTTAACTATGTTTTAAAAAGCTAAATGCCCACACTATATAATTGTCATAAATTCATACTATGATGTAGGTAAATAAACTTTGATCACCTTTACTACCGAGTAAATTAAATATAATTCGAAATATTGTGATTGTTTTTTATTGCAATTATTAATATTTTTCATAATTGGGATTTAGTCGGTACATTGTTTGAATCTTCACCCGCCCGAGTCGCGGACGCTCCACAGTCCAGCGTGAGTCTTACCAGTCATGACATTCATTCTTTTTATAGATGGTGAATTACAAACGGTTTGTTCAGGTCGGCAGGGTTGTGTACATAGCCTATGGAGTTCATGCCAAAAGAATTGCTATTATTGTGGAAATTATTGACCAGAATCGTGTACTGATCGATGGTCCCTGTTCAAATGTTCCCAGGCGGCCAATAAATGTTAAGAAACTCCACATGACTAAAATTCTCTGCAAATTACCCCATGGTTGTGGAACTGCAACCGTAAGGAAAATATGGGCGAAGAATAAAGTAGATGAACGATGGCAACGGACCGTTTGGGCGCGCAAACTTGCTAAGAAGGCTTTGCGAGCAGGTCTTAACGACTTTGAGCGGTTCATTGTCATGCTTGCAAGACAAAAGGTGAGTTCTTTGCCAATTTTATCGCTTTGCATCTGCATGTCAATAAATTCTTTTGATATGTTATCCTTCATGTGATGACCTGGAAGTGCCGTCTGATACCCTGCTGATCTTCCTCACTGATAAGACTTCTATCCTACTTTAATCATATCCTTGTGCTTTTATTTAATTATTACTTTTGAATTTCAGAAAAACCGAATCGTGCAAAACTATAGGATGCGAAAGCCCGACTCACAGCCTAAAGCAATCAAGCCTTCAAAAAATAAGCCCAAGGCGAAAACGGTGGCAGCCAAGCCGCCCAGAACGAAGTGAAATATTTAATACAGTTTGGTTTTCCTTTTTTCTTTTGATACTGTCAAAGTGGTTTTGCAGGAAGGCTATGTTGTCACAAGAGCGATAAGCCGAACGGACACTAACCTCTAATTCTCGGAAGGTGGCCGAATTGGCTTAATGGTGAGAGCGCGATGCTAGTCTGGTTGCCGTCGGTGTGTTTGTAGAGATTAATCTAATCAGTAGGAATCTAAATTATATCGATAGGTAAATGTGGTGTTTACTTTTGACCCTAAGGTTGACATTGAAGCCAAATTTGTTGTAAATCTTCTTATCTAGCGTCGGTGGAGGCGTGAACCTCCACTTGCTCAGGCTACACGGCCTGAGTCGGGGGTTGCTGTAGAGGGGATTAATGAGTCAGTCCTTGGGCGGTTTCTGTGATGCCGCTATGTACACGGCATGGAAGGCTCATGGTCCTAAGTAAATTGTATGCCTGGGTTGGAGACGAGGTCGGCAGCGCGTCACCGGGCTTGGTGTGTATATGAAAAGCGGGCCTAACTTGAGTGAGCATTTCGGTGAATCAGGGCCAAGGGTCGGTCGTGGAACCCTAATAAGCTTGCCAGAAGGGGCACATTTCAAGAATAAACCGATATAGGCGGACAAGAAGTCATGGAGGATGTTGCGCGGTTGAGGACGGCGTTGGTCGCGTGACGGCTCAGGAAATATTTAAATAAGAGTTCGGCTATTTGTAGACTTCCATCTTGTTGCCGTTAGTTGATGGTGCCGCAGGTGAGTTTGAGTGCGGGACAGGTTCAACCCCCAAAACTTCGGATCGTAACCACTGTAGAGGACAGCGGGCAAGTTGTGCCAGGGTGCATGACCTTGTTGCGAAACCGAGGTCGGGCAACTTCCATGCAAAATAAAGCCGACCGACTTAATCTTTTCCTCGTTCATTGTATATTTACAAATACATTTGCGCTGATTTAGGGAGCAAAATTTGGCCTCGTGAAGCTCGTTACGCTAGACGCTTAATAACGGCCTAGCGTCGCACCGTACTGGTTTAACAAATTTAGTTAGATAATTATAGACCAAGTTTATTGCATCTTGTCCTATGTAGATAATGAGGAATAAGTTATTAGGCCGGTCCAGAATGAAGTCGAGCTTGGCACTCTCCCAGAGCGAGCCGCATAGCTATTGGTGTCTGCCGCATACCCAGGGAGATAGTGCTCCCGAAATTCGTACAATCTTGCTTTCTGACGCTCCTCTGCATTGGCAGCAGTATGCTTTGTAACCTAAAAAGTATAAAGTTTAAATTGATAATCAAATTGCTTTAATAAGATTGGTGTATCCTGGTCTCGGGTGTGCTCACTGATTTAAAATGGGGGTAGTTGCATAAAGGCACCTGGAGTAAGGTAAACTCATAATAAAGCAATTAAGTTACCTATTAGTGGCATAGTCTCATCTATCTACTTATAATGACTCGCAATCTGAGTTTACTTGCCCATTGTAAGTATGTTTCACGAGCATATGGAATCAGACCAATTTTTGTTGCAGTTTAAGATAAAAGAGCAAAGGCGGAATGATAATAATGTCTTGCCTTTATTTTTTGAGGCTCGAGCCTACATCCTGGTTCTGCTCGCTCCAATTATTGTGAATGAGAATTTATGGAGACAAAAAGTGTGAATTTCTGAACTAGTGTTTTCGCCGATAAGTTTTTTAATGGGTGAAAATTTCAACAACCGATGATACGGGGGCGATTCAAGAGTAGCTTTCGAATTATTCCAGAAATGCATGATTACTTAGAATCTCGGAATCTCGCGTGCCTCGATTTGATTACTTAGCCTAACTATTTTTACATCGCACTTATTTTTAATAACTTTCTAATGAATAAGCTTGCTTCGGACGCATCTTGAATTTGGCGTAAATCAAGTGTTGGGTTCATATCTAATGCGAGGAGATTACCTAAACACAATATACTTGGGAGTATACCTTGCTGGGGGGGCACCCTGGATCTTCTCAATTATCATCATTGGGGTAAAGACATCTGCTAACGTGTAGTCTACGTGTAACACTGAATTTCACGTATCTGTATCTGCATCATTATAAATTCGGCAGGACCTATGAGCAAGTAGAACCTTGCTCGCTATCACCAAAACCGCACCAAAATACTTCATCGGCAGGATCGTTACGTCCACACACACGATGAAATGACTTTAATTGGACCGCAATAATAAAGAAACTTTTCCGGGAATGAATTCGAATCGACTCCGCATTATTCCTCCTTGCAACCTCTCATTGCGATTACTCTATGCAGATTCTTATCTCAGTCTCGCTTACCGCCATTCTTTGCCGCATGTTTCACCCAGAATCTCTATTCTCACAAATCTAATCTTCTACAAATACTTAATAGCTATATACACTTTTCGCATCTATACTTCTCTTACAATAAACACTTAGTCTTTTTATCTTATCAATCGGTTTTCAAATCAGATCCCTCATAGTATATATTAAAAGTTTATATAAATTCATTGCTATATCAGAGTATAAGTATCTAGTTGTTAGCCCGATAACATTTTTTATCATGTTGAATTAGACTTCTCTAAAAAATCAAAACAAGCATGTCAGAGTCTGTTTCATTTAGAATAGTTGGTCAACTCCTGGGAGCTGCGTAGAAGCTAAGAAACAATAAATTAAAATCACCCAACACTTTCTTCTTTAGACATTTCCGTTCAGCTTACCCACAGTTTTGGTTAAAAGAGTAAGTCGCAAGAAATTAACGCTCCATCTTCAAGGATTAACAAAACCGGGAATTCAAGAAAGAATATATGCCGGGATTGTCGAATCTCATTTATTGGTTCTGGGCATGTTATATAATAAGACCTATGGACCCGTCTCAACAAAGGATTATTATGGATTTTTTTATAAAGCGGAATATTTATTCATGATCGCCAGTATGGTCAGGGCAGTTCATTATAAAAGGGCCGAATTATCAGTACTAATTAAACGCCATTAAGGATCGTGTCCCTACATATACTACGTTCAGAAAATTCAGGTGAGTGCATAGGAATACGCTATAAAAATTATCACTCACTAACTAGTAGAATAAATCTGAATTTCTCCCTGCATTGAGCATTTTTAGAAAATATCAGAATATTATAAATTATTCTCCTGC